GAGTGCTCCATATTTTGCATTTCTATTGAAATTAAGATCTCCAGGAAGCAGAACACGGGTGGGGCAATGAGCCTTTGTTTCTGTTGAGGTGGCAGAGGCAATCTTGCAGGAGCCCCCCTCCCTGGCTTCTTATTCCTAACTCATTTGGCTGCAATTTGTACTGCCAAGGTCATTGAAACAGGCAGCAAGATGTGGTGAATGTGTTCCCAGAGGTCATGAAAAGCCTCTTTAGCAGAGCAGGCTGGGCTGTGCTTAAGCCAGGTCATTTAAGCACATTTGTACTGCCAGTCAGATGATACCCAGAGCAGTGGATGGTTTTGTAATAAACCCTGCAACCTGGGCCTGCAGCCTGTGCCACAGTGGGATCCAGCACTCGGCTTTAAAGGACACTACAGTAATTCAGTATTTTAATAGTGAGCTGCCCTTAAAATGTGTGAACAGGAGTGAGATTATCAAACCCTAATGAATTGTCTGGGTTCCTCAGCCCCAGCCCCACCTCCCTTTTCATTCTCTAGACTGCTTCATTCATGTGGGATATCAGCCTTTTATTCAGCTCCTGGTGTTGAAATAGTGCCATTTTTAATAAATGGTTTAGAGGGTTTCTCCAAATCAGATTTTATCCCCTTCTTTTCCCATATCTATTCTCCGTGGAGATGAATTAACCTTTTATCCTAGGAGGAAGTAAATAGAGACAGCATGATGGCAAGATTAGCAAAGACATCATTTCAGCCAGATACTCCAAGGCTGCTGACTGAGAGTCAGAATTCCTGGGTCTGTCTGGAGCTCTGCTGCTGTCCCTGCCTGGCTGTGGCCAAATCCCTTCCTTCTCCCCCTCTTCCACTTTTCCTGCCACGTTAATGAGCACTCTGTGTTAACCTATAGCATTTTACCTTTCAAAGGACCAAGCAAACCTTTAAAAGCAGTGTGATCCCCACTCAGCCTGCCAGCAGCATTTCTGTGTGTGTGGTATGTCAGGCTCTTGAACTGGAGATTTTCTCTGTCTGAAGTTTGGAGTGTGACAGCTCAGAGTTAAACTAATCCACGTTGAGTGAAGCTACAAAATACAGCTCTTGGATATTTTACTTACCCCCAAATTCTGGTGTACGTGCAGGGCTCTTTCTTTCCTCGAATACCTAGATACAACCTGGGAAAAAATCTGGAGGAAATCAAGGATTTAAAGTTCCTGAATTCAAGTTTTGGTTAGTGAGTCTCCCAGTCCTGGGAAGCAAATCACTTCTCCCTAAAGCAGCAGCAGCTGTAACCCAGCTGTGATGCAGGGGATGGGAATCTCTTTGCCAGTGCTTTGCTTTCTGTGGGTACATTTTATTATTATTTCTGTGGGTACATTCTATTAGCCCCTCTTCCTGTGTTTTTGCTTATGCTTTATTCTCTACATTTATTTTGTGCCTGTGTGTATTTTGTTTCGTAAGACAAATGTGCTACGTTTAAAGAGGCATTTCATAACCTTTAATCAAGATCATATTTTATTTTCATCACATTTGTGTTTATATTATTACAAGCCTTTTGGGTTTTAACGTCTTCTACTAATCTCAGCATTAATGTTTTGGCTGATATATAAATAAATGTTTGACTTTAACTCTTTAAGAAATCCTGGCTTGGGAAAAAGCCTTACCTTATCAATGTCATCTTAGAATAGCTGCATTTCAAAAAAAGGCAGGGACCAATCAATGCTTTCTCTAATAAAAACTGAGTGCAGGGAGTAATTCTAGATTCTGTAATCCACTGCATAAAATCAAATCTCCTGGCTGCTGAAAGATACCATCTACCTGAAGGAAAGATGCTACATCTGGGCTTTATCTTTTATGTCTCTTACTTGCCCAAGCAGTCTGGCATAATTGGGAAAACTGTGCTAATCTGTAATGTGGCAGAATGTTAGCTGGGAGATTTTATGGGTAAAAAAGGTGGACTAGCATCTAATTCTTATTGGGGTTACACAGGCTCAGATCAGTAATGAAGACAGCACAGTTCCTGGTTTAAGCTGGAAGAGGGGAAGACTCTGAATTGATGGCTGCAGAAAGGGAAAAGAGTAACTGGCTTCACTGGCTGAGGATCCTAACACTCATCTTCACACTTAGCACAATTGTATGTTATTACTTGTCCTCCAGATATTTTTTAGAGTCCTTTGGAATAAATCAGTGTAGTTGCACTATTTTAAAGGAAATGACTGAAGTTATTACCAAATCCTGATGCAACGCAGGATTTTTAATGCATTTGACTTCCAGCGAGGATTTGAGAATGCTCTTGGAAATAACAGAAGTAAAAATGTTATGAAGACCAAACAGTGAAGTAGTATCATTTTGTAAATATATATAATAGCTGAAAATTGTTTACTTATCCTCCTTTATGAGAAGCAGGCTTCTGTGACCTCCGATTAATTTACCATTAGCCTGAGCACACAATGAAAGTGAATGAAGGGGCAATTTGGAATGACATTTATCAGCTCTGGAGCTGTCGGCTTCTATTATTTCCACAAGGCCTTATATTTGTTGGCTTCAGAGAAGGCTGTGCTGACTTGAATGAAGAGGAGCATTCTTACTCCCAGGAATAGTTGCAGCACAAACAGCCTCATTGCTTGATGCCTACAATGGGGAAAAACCAGTGGCATTAAATGAGAGCAGAGCCACCCTTGAGCAGTGGACATGCACAGGACCTTGCCTTCACACCAGGCTAAGAAAAGGGAACAGAAGAGCTGAGGAAAGGGAGAGGGAGCAAGGGGAGGGAAGGAAACAAGCTTTACAGGGATAGGGTGGCTGAGGGACTGAGGGTGAGGCTGAAGAGCCTTTCACAATGGGATGTGGGTTGGGACCCACGCTGCCTTTGCCATGGTGAGAGCCATCCCCACCAGGACTTGGGGCTGCTGAGCTGCTGCTGCTGTGTCTCATTTCTCTGGGCAGAGAGCACCTGCCCCTTTCTGCTCCATATCTGACACAGATCAGCCCCTTCTGGTGAGACTTCCAGCAGAGGTCAAGAATCCAACATGCATGGAAACCAAACCGGCTTGGGCTGAGCTGAAACAGGTCTGTGGGCAGCTTTGCTTTGCTGCTCAGGCTGAGTTCCAGATAAATACCTGGCTTGCCTGTTCAGGGATCCTTGTGTGGCACAGGGTTGCTGTCCTTGGTTGCTTTGTTGGCTCATTTGTACTCAAAACTTTCATGCAACTAACTCAGTACCAATTTCACAACACTATAGTTGGAATGTTGTGAGACTTCTTTATTTTTTAATTGAAATTAGGGGAGCAGCAAAGCAAGTCCCCTTCCATTTGGCTGGTATTTTATTTTATTCTAATTTTATCTTTATCTGTTGTATTCTACTACAATGGATTTGTATTTCTGTAAAGTAACAAATCCCTTCTAAAAATGTCGAATATCAGTTTTACTGGTGACATTTTGAACCCTGCAGCCTAAATCTCCTGGGAGATCAGCAGAACTCTGCCATCTAGGTACATAATTCACTTCTGGGAGTGTAGTATGCAGGCTCCTAAGGCAATTCTATGCACTGATTTTTCCCATTTATTTTATGCACAAATTGCCTCCAGGATGGCTTCAGCATCACTTTAAGGTTGACAGCTTTGTCCACTATGCCTCTGATAATGTTTATCTGCTATGACTGTCACAAAACTGTGGAAATACAACCAAATGTAGAAATATAATCACATATAACAAAGGTGCTTTGCTCAGAGGCAATGGAAAAGTTGCATGACAGAGCTTTGTAGAATTGTCTTTATGTTTGGAGACATCTCCATCGTAGTTCCACGAGCAATAGCAGCTGTAAAATTCCTTCTTTCCTGTGTGGAAAAGAATCACTTTACAGGATTGTTACAGAGATTCAGTGGTAACAGTAAAACACTCAAACACCAAAAAAAAAAAAACCACAAAAACCAAAAGCTGACTCTATCTCACTCAGCTTTGCATTGTTTTAAGCAAGTCAGGAATAATTCTATAAAACTAGATGTAGGTACAGTTTGGGGAGGTCAGAATCAGTTTGCTCAGTGCCTAGAGCTGGAGCCCAGCTGTCCATGAAGCTCCTCATAGCTAAAGGATGACTTCCCTTTGATCTAATATCACATCCATTAGTTCTGCTTATTTAAAAGTCAGTTAAAATCACTTCTAAAATGTTCCTTCTGTTGAAAATCCTTTTCTCCCTTCTCTGTTAAATTTTTTTTTTCTTATTGTATTTTACTTTCATCGAACAAAAACACATTACTTGGCATTTTAATGTTTTTTATAGCACTGTCTGTCACTCTTGTCTGTAATCAAGCCAGGTTTAGGAATAATTCCATTACCCTGCAAAAAATGTCACCCAATTTTTCTATTTTCACATAATAACAATCATTGCTGAAATCTAGAAGTTCAGCTTTGCGCCAGATAAAAACATCTGGGGATGCGTGCAGAATTATCCAGGTTACTGTGTCGGGTTTTGTTGAGGTGGAAGAGAAGTATTTATTTCCTATGCTGTTTTTGTGCTTGAGGTTCTAAGTCTGGGAAGTTCGGGGGAAAATACCAGTTAAAACAAAAGAAAAACCAAAGAAAGGCACACCAGAAAAAAAAAAAAAAAAACAAAAACCAAACAAACTGAACTCCCATTCACTTGTTTGCCCAGTTTGCCTAGTGGTGGTTGAGTGTTAAGTGAAGATGGTCTTCAGTTTTTACTTCATTAATGACTACAAGATCCAAAATAATGTACAACTGTGAAATTGCTCTTTATTTTCACGACAGAAGCGAATGTCTTGTTGATGGGAATAATTTCTTCAGAGACAGAGTGGATGATGTTCTCTGACCATGTCACACTAATTTTCCAGTTTATCAGTCACTGCAGTTCCAAGCTGGAGTGACAAGCTGGTATCACATCTGATCTTCCTGTGTGTGATAGCAGCTCTCAGGTTTGGGTCCATGGGAGCTGCAACAGCCCCTGCCTTGGCTGGGCAGAGCTGTGCCAGCAGCAATTGGGTGATGACATCTCTATCTCCTCTGCCTCCACAGGATGAAGTGGCCCAGCCTCTGAACCTCTCAGCCAAACCCAAGACATCTGATGGCAAATCTCCCACGTCCCCCACCTCTCCTCACATGCCAGCTCTGAGAATAAACAGTGGGGCCAGCTCACTAAAGTCCTCGGTGCCAGCAACACTAGCCAGTCCTTCGGCCAGAGCCAACACAATAGGTGAGCTGAGCCCTGTGTGTCCCACTGAGTGCCCTGTGTGTGTCCCACTCTGTCCTGTGTGTCCCACTCTGTCCTGTGTGTGTCCCACTCTGTCCTGTGTGTTCCACTCTGTCCTGTGTGTCCCACTGAGTGCCCTGTGTGTGTCCCACTCTGTCCTGTGTGTCCCATTCAGTGCCCTGTGTGTGTCCCACTCTGTCCTGTGTGTCCCAATCAGTGCCCTGTGTGTGTCCCAATCAGTGCCCTGTGTGTGTCCCACTCAGTGCCCTGTGTGTGTCCCACTGTGTCCTGTGTGTCCCACTCTGTCCTGTGTGTCCCACTCAGTGCCCTGTGTGTGTCCCACTCAGTGCCCTGTGTGTGTCCCACTCTGTCCTGTGTGTCCCCCCAGCCCCGTGTGTCCCTCTCAGAACAAGGGTAGCTCCTATTGGGAAGGGTTTTTATCAGCCCTGCCCAGGGTGCCCATGATGCTCCAGCTGGTTGGTGTGGGTGCAGAAACTCAAGAGACTTTCCTTTCAGGAGGGGTTTCTTAGCTTTCACAGACTAAGAAAACCAAGTCCCGTGTTACTTCAGATACTGCTTTAACTTCTGATAAATGCTGGTTTTTAATGGCACACATTAATACAGCATTTATCCACAGTGACCTGCTGATGGTGGGCACTGGAGACCCTTGATATTGTACCCTGTCATCTAATAGTGATGCATGAGCTTTCAGAAACATCTCTTAAAGGTAAAAGTCTACATCTTTCCAAAATTACAAGTTTGATTCTCAGTCCATCCAAATCCTGGATGCAATATTATTTCACCTTGGCGTAATAAGCAAAACAATCACCGGGTTCACTCAAGAAAACCCCAGATTTGTTGTTCTATGTTGCAAAGAAAGTCTTGACTGGTTGTTTCTAACATCGTTCCAGAAAATAGTGATAGTTCCTCCTCCTGCCAAAATGATGTCTTTGCCTAAGGACCATCTAAATAGTAACAGTCTTACAGGTAATTTCATGAATCTCATGTGTTATAGGGACTGTCCTCTGTGTGTGTGTAAGGAAAATGTGCACTCACCCCGTTCCTGATCCTTCCAAATGAAATGGTGTATTCCATGCAGGGACTGAGTATAACCTGGATCAAGGTTGCATTATGTAAACCAAGCTCTGTTTTGGGAAATGAGTGAGGCAGATGTACTTCTTCTGCTCTCTCCTGAAGCATCTCCTGCCTGGCCACTTTCAGGGGTAGCACAGAAAAGCCCAAAAGAAGCCCTAGGTCAAACCTGTCAGAAGCTGTGCCTGTGATACAGCAGTGCTGTGCAGTAATGTTTATTTGGTATGACACATTACAGTCATATAAATATTTTTTAAATATCACATTACTAATTGTTAATATCTGTATTGTTATTAACCCTACATTCTTTGACTGTGATGCACAGTAATGTATTTTATATTCAGTTTGCTTGACCCTGCTGCTCTCCATGCACAATGCATTGAATTTCATTTTTTTTCACGTTAGATTTTTGTCCTTAAGCAGAGGGAACATTGTATTTCCCTGGGAAGTTAAGCATCTGACTCACATTTCAGTGGCAAGACACCTCTTGTTCTCCCCTCTCCAATCCTCTTTCCCTGCACACCTGCTATTTTCCATAGGTTTGAGACCCCTGCAATTTACTCCTTCTAACAAGGTGCAGATTTTGAAATGCTGTACCTTTAATGAGTGATAATGTAATTGGATAAAAGCTGTGAGGATGAACAGAGCTTTAAAGGTCACTCTTGTAAGAAGAATTAATGTGTTATACCATTAATAAACCATGGAAAACTGTGGAGCAAAAGATAACATATTTAAGTTATTGTTAATGACACAGAGTTCACTGCTGTATATCTCTCTGCTACAAATATAGAAAGTGACTTTTTGAGGTTGCAGAGCAGTATCACTGTGCATGCTGTATGTGTAAGATAAGCTGTCTTTAGCTGGTGCTGGATGGACACTCCTAGCAAAGGTTTATCCTTAATGGAGGACTGCAAGAAGGAAAAGCTCCTGACCTCTCTGCTAGGTCAGATCCAGCCCAATCACAGCAAGCAGGGCTCGTGGCCATGGTGAAACTCTGGTGAGCTTGGGTGAAATCCCATGTCACCCAAGCTCACCAGGAGAAACTTTGGTGGTGTTTTTAGCAAAGCTACCAAGGTCCCTGATGTGGCAGGGGAGCTGGATCCCTTTCTCGTGCTGAGGGATAAATCCTCCACAAAGAGCCCTGGGAAGCACCCAGCCCCTCGTCAGACACCTCCAGCTCTGCAGTGATGGAGCTGTCACTGTGACCGTGCTCACAGGGCTCCCAGGAGGAGGGAAGAGACATGGAGGATCTGACTCCATGTTTCAGAAGGCTGATTTATTATTTTATTATATATATTACATCAAAACTATACTAAAAGAATAGAAGAAAGGATTTCATCAGAAGGCCAGCTAAGAATAGAAATCAAAGAATGATAACAAAGGTTTGTGGCTCGGCTCTCTGTCCAAGCCAGCTCACTGTGATTGGCCATTAATTAGAAACAACCACATGAGACCAATCCCAGATGCACCTGTTGCATTCCACAGCAGCAGATAACCATTGTTTACATTTTGTTCCTGAGCCTCTCAGCTTCTCAGGAGGAAAACTCCTAAGGAAAGGATTTTCCATAAAAGATGTCTGAGACATGTCAGCACGAGGCACAGGCTGTCTGTCCTGGGTGTGCACAGCCTTCCTTGCTGCACGCAGCTGGGCTGTCCCTGCTCAGCACCCCTAACTGCAAATTATGTCCCTTGGTACCACCCTAACTGCAAATTAAGCTTTCTCTGTGCTCAGGCCCCTTGGCTCCCCTGGCATGGAGAAATGCAGTGTGTTGCTCATCTTTCAGTGGGGACACGAGCCCAGAGCCTCAGGGATTATCAGCAGGGCTGCACTCAGGCATTGCAGCTCCTCAGCCCTTTCCTGAGCCATCCCCACAGCACAGAAATGGTGCTACAGACTGAGCAGTCACAAATGTCATGGCTCCATGGATGACTTTAAATCCAAGCTTTTCTTTTTGGGAGCAGGCATATGTCCGTGTACTAAAAACAGAAACAACTTCTCCCTGCTCTTTGCCATTATCTGCAACATCTCTGTGCTAGTTTGGCAATCCTTGGAACTAAGTTCATTTTATGTAATGCAGTTCCCCTCTCTGTCAATAATTCACCACCTACCCTAAACAACAATAATTTACATTCAACTCGCTTCTATATTAATCATTTCCCTGCACACCAGCATCTTGGCAGCTACTGAAAAACATAAGGAGTGCTTGCTTTTATTCACTGTCATGTGCCAAACTGTCTCAAAGATAGCAGTATTCAGGAAAAGCCAAATAGTCTGGAGAAGGGCATGAATTCCAGCTCCTAGGCAAATTTGGCTCTGTTACAGACTGAAAGTATTATACCTAGACAACAGCAAAAGCAGCACTAATACTGCTGTTTGTTTGTTTATGTGCTTCCTTTTTTAATTTATTCTGACTACATGCAAGGTTGATCAGATGCAAAGGTTAACAGATGCAAACTGGGGAAGAAACCAGGCAAGTTGGTAAATGGAGGTTAAAAAAAGGAAAAAAAAGAAAAATCAGCTGTGCTGGTGCAGGCTATATTCTTCCTTATGCTGGGAAAACTGGAATTGCTGGAATTCCATTGGCTGGGAATTACTGAACTGGGTCATTTGATAAAAGCAGTGTGGATCAAGTTGTTTCACACAAAACTCTCAGGGTTCCTGGAGTTTTAGCCAAAAGTTAGCTGTTACTACAATTAGCAGCAGTCAAACTGCACAGGAACTTTTCTCTCTAGCTGCTGTTGTCCAAGGAAGATGGGAGTATCAGTCCCACTCTATCCACAGTCAAGCAAAACCAACAATAAAAGCCCAGACCAAGCTAAAATCCTGACAGCAGCGCAGCACTGAACTAATCTGACATCAGCTCCTTCCCCAGAAATGTTTCAAGCAAGCAGCAAGACAATGTCCTGCGTTTTTGGCAATCAGCAGATCAGATAGAAGAGTCTAGCAATACAACAGGGATGTGTAATCTGACATGATTAGACAAGGCTCTTTAGGAACAGAACATTCATAATTGAGACAAAGAAAGAGTATTAATAACACTTTCCTAACACGGCAGTTAGCCATTTTATATTTCCTTTCTTTAATCTTAGTGTTTTTCAACAAATCATGGGATTTAATAGCGTGTTTTGGCAGATTAGAGGATTTATGGCCCAGATGTTTTTTGTTCTAAAAATGGATTAGGGTGTAAAGTTTGCTGGAATCCATGGAACATGTTGAGGCAAGCCGGTCATTTTGTGTGTGATTAGTGCCTGCCTTCTGTCTCACAGTCCCTCCATCTGTCACGATTCACCAATGGATCTGGTTAGATTTAGCCTCATGTCACAAACAGAAGTCCCTTTTCTGGGCAATTTCATATTACAGATTCATTTTATGCTGTTTTTATGCCCTAGTTAAAAGACAGAAAGAAGTGTGTATGTGTGTGAGTGTGTATGAGTGTGAGTGTGTGTGTGTGTGCACACGTGTGGGGATGTGCAGGGGGAGAGGGAGGTCGATAGATATTAGCCTCTACTTTAATATCTGAGAAATAGACTGGGGCTTGGAGTCCCCCATCAGTATTCTACCCTACAAATCACATGCAGATCATAATAAGTATAATCTACGGTACGCTAAAGGAAAAAAAAATGACAAAGTGTCACATTTAAAATTAAATAGTATTAGCTGGGCCGGTGATGCTTGTAACATTTTAAAAGGAAATAATTCAGTGACTACTAAGGCTAAGCCCTAGGCTGTGAATTTGCAGCAAAACAGTGGACATTTGACCTACTATTAGCAGCATGAATAGGAGTGGCAGTGTAGGTCCGTGTAGCTGTGGTTCCTTGTACATTTATGAATGACAGGTGGTGGTGGGGAGTGTTCAGTGGATGAGGTTTTTCTTCCCAGCCATTATGCATTTCATATGTATAGCAAACCACCGCCACCTGTGGTTTATTTTAATGTATTCACAAGTTGGAGAAGGGGAAGAATGGAGCGGTCTGTTTTGAAGAGTTTGGGATTGCTGGCGTGATCAGAGCTTCCCCAGACTCGTACCCAGCTCCATCCTGCTGCATCCAGAGCACAGGGCCAGCCTCTGCAGTGTCAGGGAAATATTGAGACTGATGGGATCAAATAGCAGCACTGAGCATTTTGGCACTGAGATTTCCCAGGCTTTGTGTCCAGGTGGCTCTGTCATAACAGCGGCACAATTGCAGAGCACACGCAGGTTGGTGGGCATTGCCTTTTAACTCTTTCTCATTAATAATGATAAACTGCATCCCCCTGGTGGGAGCTGAAGTGTTTTGCTGTGACTTTCTGGTTTTTAAGGCACCCTTTCTTGTGTCCTTGCCAGGTTATTTAAATGACCACGACGCTGTCACCAAGGCCATCCAGGAGGCGCGGCAGATGAAGGAGCAGCTACGGAGGGAGCAGCAGGTGCTGGATGGGAAGGTGGCCGTGGTCAACAGCCTGGGTCTCAATAACTGCAGGACAGAAAAAGTGAGTTCCCAGACTCCTTCTGCAAAGGGTCACAGTGCTCTGTTGCCTCTCCCCACAGACACACAGCTTCTTCCTCCCTTCGAGTCCTCCTTATTCTATTTGTGAAACAGAATAGTTCAAAAAAAGTGAAAAGCCAAAAGATGACATGACAGAGAAACCTGAGACCCCTGGGGGAGAGTGGGGAGGAGGCAGAGATGGTTAAAGCCCTCACGAGAACTTTGGAGACCACTAATTCTCTGTTCCAGCCTGTCAACATGTATTAAGAGAAGGTGATCTTGGAAATCTCTGGGTCTAAGTGGAAATCTTGCTTTATGGAAATGCTTACATGTGTTTGTGAGATGAGCTGGATTTGAAAATATTCAAGCTTCTTTAGGAACATAAGCTTTGCTGATACTCAGGCTCAGCTTCTGGGTATTTAGCCTCGTGAGGTCGTCATAGATGATATTTTGTGACCATTGCAATGTAGCACTGTCACGTCACGTTAGATGACTGAACAGAAATGAAAAGCAGAGAATTGACAGCACAAACTGCACCAAATATTTGCAGTGAAACTTAGAGGCAGCAGAATGTATGGGGCTTACCACTGTCTGCTCTTGGACTGGCCCGTGAAGCTGTGCTGTAACAAAATACCAACACAGTGGGTACTCTCTAGTGAAAATTTGTGTGTGCTCCCACTGCTGTGCCTGTCAGTGAGGTTGTGGTTTGCTTCTTTCCTCAGCGAGTGCCTGATGTCTCTGTGTGCACCTTATGGAGGATAAACAGACCTGCCAGTGCTTGCTGCCACATTCCCCGTGAGCTGTCCTTACAATGCTGCCACCCAGCATACACAGCTCAGCTCTGCTCTCGTCTCAGTGTGCTTAGCAAGGCTTCCCCTGCTCCTCTCCTTCCCTGCTGTATTTTCTGGGCTGATACGGTACAAGGATCCCCTTGTCACATTTGGTGTCAGCTGCATTTAACTCAGAGCACTTCCACTGTAAGGTCTTGTGCAGTTCGCTGAGACAGGCAGACAAATAGATGGAATAAAAATGATCAGCTATTTAGCAGAAACTTGAAACCCAGTCATCCCGGGAAGCTTGCGAGTCAAACAATATTGTCCAGAATGAGCAGATTGCTGATTTGGATGGCTTTCCATTGTGCCTGGTTTGAGATGGAGTTTGATCAATAAGCTGTGAGAAGCCAGCAGCCTGTGTAATGAATGTTAAGTGTCCATGTGAGTCTCTCACCGCTGCACTGTTGTTTCCATCGGCCTGTCCCGGGTGCCAGTGGTGTAGGACTGACTCCAGTTCCATCCCTTTCTGGAGAGGAAGGAGAAAAGAGGTCAGTGTAGTGGGTATCTGGCAGTACCTCCCCTCTGTCTCAGGAGAGCCAGGGTGCTGCTGTGGGGAGAGAGAAAAGAGAGGGCTCTGGAGCATGTTTATGGCATTCCACAGAGAAGAGCACCAGAAGGGAAAAGGGAAAAGCAGAGTGTCAGATATAAGAAGAAGTGATCACAAGCACAAAGGAATTTATATTCAAATATTTAAGCATTCTTGAAAGGATGCTCGGAGCAGAAATTCCTTTTCTGTGCTCCCCATGTAGAAATGACTTTAACACTCAGGCAGATGCTAATGCAAAGTGACTCCAGCTATTCCTCGCAAGCATAGCTAAATTGCCCTTATTTGTTAAGCGCATTGAATTCAGCTGTGGATACAGCAGTTGGTTGCATTCAGAAAGCATCTGTACCCTTTTTTCCTTTTGCCTTTTTTTTTTTTTTTTTTAAATCCTCCAAAGCAGAGACAACTCTACCTATCTCCCCCCTCTCCTCCCTTGTGCTGGCTGGGAATTGTCAAGTGACAACCGACCAAATCCTTTTGGACAGGAAGCCTTCATCCTGAGTTCTATATACTTGCAAAGCAGGCCTTGTGGTTGGATCAGGAAGCCCATTAAAAGCACTTTGATGGTATGGAAATTCATCTTCATGAAGCACCCAGGCCCCTAAGCAGCATGCTGTTTAGCTGTGGTTACAGATCAGTCATTCACATCGGAGGGCAGTAATTGTGCTGACGGCTTGTTCGGCAGTGGAAGCACATAAAATAATCCCAGGCCCTCCACCATGGCATTGCCAGTTAATCTTCTTTAATACAGATCAGCTGTTGTTCTAACACATGACTTTATGCTGGCTCTAGTGACTCTGCACAGCCTTTTGATTAAGTAACAGGAGTGGAACCATCTGCATTCACTTTATTCTGTTACTTTCCTATTCTTGGGATTCTCCTTATTCCTTCTGTTTTCACTTCACACCCTCAACCTCAGCTGAAGTTTATTTTCCTCTCTAATTCATACCTCCTGCTAGGCTCGTGGAGGGCAGACAGGAGTTCTTTTACAAGGTAGCAGGGAGAAAAAATGGTTTGCTCAATAGAGAATTTTTCTAAAGCAGCTGTAGGCTTTGGAGGTTTGGATACAATTAATGCCAGAACTTTATTGGGGCTCTCTGATTTGAATTCGATGATCTCAGAAATGTTTTCCAGCCTAATTGATTCTGTGATTTATTTTAATATGTGAAGTTCATATCCAGACAAACAATCCAACTTGTCTAAAGTTTGTCTATTTTTTGCTCTGGGACATTAAGGTTTTCTTACTAAGAGCAAGATTTGAGAGGAAAGCGAGTATTGCCGTTTTAAATTAAACTTTATTCTGGTTCTCTCTGTTTTCAGAGGCAGAGAATGAGATAGTTGGGAATTTGGTTGGCAAGAAACAGGGCTACAGTTTTTTTACAGAGTTTCCCTTTTCAGCAGCTCACGGTCCCACTGCAGGACTTAGTCCTGATCAGCCCCTGATCTTTGGAGACATCGTGTCTGTCACTTTTGCTTCCTGACCAGAGACTTGGAGATGGGGTGGTATTAAGATGTAATTATTTTATTTTATCCTAATATATATCTATGTATTCCTGTGCGTATTAGCACTTAGAAATGCACATTAGTATTTGTAGGTAACAAACACTTGTTGGGGCTATCCCAGATGTTTCTCCCTTCTTTGCTGCAGTGGGTAGTGTACTTTTGGAGGCCTGTGATTCCCTGTCAAGCTTTTTGTGGCAAGAATTGCTTCTGCAGCCTTCCAGTGAGGGGCCTCTGGGCCATTCCCAGCATTTATGGGAGACTCTTTGTGGGGATTTGTCTGCCAGGGGTAGCTGGGCAGGCTTGGGGCTGGAAATCATCTTTGGGAGTCTCTGTTGAAGCTCTTTGGGCTCCTCAGATGTGTCCTGTTTTCTTGCTGGTGTTCCCAGAGGGGTTGATCCCTGTGGAGAGCCAGACATGCCAGCTAAGGCAGGAGTCAGACAGGAATTTTTTGGAAGTAGAGAGAAGCTGTATAAAGGGAGTCATACATAAGAAAATACTTTTAAAAATGGCTAAGATGATTTGGGTGAGTCACTTTTTGGGCATCCAACTTGGACCATCTTGACGGCTTTGATTTTCAGAGGATTACAGTAAAAACTTTGAGCATCACTATGAACACGGATTTCACTAAAACCTATTTTAATTGCAAATGCAGTAAAACATATTTTTACATTACTTTTCTTGGAAACACTTCCTTGTATAAATGAGAAGTGCGTGTGTTTTTGTGGTTTCTTGGAAACCCGAGAGCGTAGCTTTATTTGTAATTGTCATCTACAGTTAATTATAGCTTGATGCATCCCATACATAAACAGTGTTACCTGGGGTAAACAGCACGACAGGCAGGGAGCTCTGGCCTCTCTGCTCAGCCCCAGAACAGGCAGGGAGGTGTACACAAACACAAAGAGCCAGCAGGGTGTGCATGCACTCCCAGCTGAGTGCATCCCAGTACACCCCCCCTTCCCTCACTGGGGCTGAACCTGCGCTGCAAGCTCTCCCTTTTACTGCTTGCAGTGTGTCCTTTTAAAAGGCTCTGACATGTACTTGTGTGCTGGCTTGTGACTAAAGAGCTATTTGTACCAATATTTACTGCAGCATTGCGAGCTGAGCCTATTATTCATGCTTGTGGAGCACGGGGTTCAGGATGCCTTTGCTCCCATTCCCAATCCCCCTCCTCCCTCCATCCTCCCCACTCGCAGCCCCAGCTCTCCCTGCTCCCCTTAAGAAAGTGCCAAACGTGGGCTGACAGTGACCAATGTTGGCTTAATGTGGATGTTTAATAATGAAAGGAGTGTGTCGGTTCCAGCGCTGGTTACAAATGGCAGGAAGTGTATCGGGTGGCAGCCCTGCAATAATTTTACATCCATCATCCCTCTGATGCCTCGCTGCCTGCCTGATGGATGGGGAGAGCACAGTTAACTCTTAGGACACCACTGTGATCCTCTGAGCTGAAGTGGATTTAGGCCCTGCTCTGCCCTTGGGAAGAAGGGCAATATTGAGAATCTCAAACCAGCAGCTCCTGCTGCCTTTGAAAAATGAAACACTGCAGTTCACTTTACTGAGCACACATGGAGTAGCTGGTTTAACACATGACATTGAAATTTTTCTTGCAGTAGAGAACTTTGCTTCAATAACTTTTTTTCCTTCTCCTAATGGTTAGATTTGAACCAGAAAGTCAAGAGAAAGTTGCAGGACAGAAGGGCAGGCAGGAGAAGAAAAGAGAAGGGCTGGCACAGCAGATGAACCCTGTGCTTGCTGCAGACACTGAGAGGCCGTGGGTCAGGCTGGGCTGAGGAACTTGGGATGATTGAAAGTGGGACCAATATCAAAATTGGTTTTGCCCAACACAAAGCAATAAACACTTTGATTTACTTCACCTGAAAGTTTAACCACTTATTATCTGTCCCCCCCCCCCGCCTTTTTTTTTCTTTTTTGCCATTTGCTTTGTGGAGCTTGTGTATATTTATATTTACAGCCTCTGCATCTAATGGCCACATGCCTTGTTTTCACAGATGGCCAGTGGAAGAACTCCCCTCCCCCTTTTCCTTTAGCAGAGCCTGCCTTTGGTTTTGCTGCTTTTGTCACAGTGCCACTACTCTCAGTTAGCAAGTGCCTACGCATGGGAGGGAG